ATGCACACGCATGCGCAAATGCTATTTCCGTCTCCTTCTGGTGTGGAGGAGGTGTGCGCAGCTTCCCATTGGCTGCAGGAGCTTCCTGCAGCCAATGGGAAGCCGGCTAGCATCGCAGAAGGCAGTCCCTGCTCTGCTCCACACCAGTTTAGTGCGGTGCATGGGAGCCGACTGAGCAGGCATCGGGGGTCCTAAGCAGGTAGCGGGGGTCCATGGGACAGTTAAACGACCCCCGTGGGCTGCTTGTGGCCCGTGGGCCTTAGGTTGCCGACCCCTGGTCTACACTGACTGGCAGTAGCTGTACAGTGGTACCTCGGGTTAACAGACGCTTCAGGTTACAGACGCTTCAGGTTACAGACTCCGCTAACCCAGAAATAGTACCTCAGGTTAAGAACTTTGCTTCAGGATGAGAACAGAAATCGTGCGGCGGCAGCAGGAGGCAGCAGGAGTACCTCAGGTTAAGAACACTTTCAGGTTAAGAACAGACCTCCCGAACGAATTTTAAGTTCTTAACCCGAGGTACCACTGTACAGTGTTTGAGGCAGGTAGGAATCTTCCCCAGCCCTACTTGGAAACACCAGGGGCGAAACCAGGGACTTCCTTCTTGGGAAGAGCGCAGAAGACAGAGCAAAAGTTGGAGCTGCCCCCCGCCCATTGCTGCTTTCCATGAGAAGAGCCGTCCTGAATCAGGGCGAAGGCCCATCTAGTCCAACTTCCTGTTCTTGCAAACACATAGATGCTTATGGCAAGCTTGCCAACATAATCTGGGCACCCCAGTTATTTCCCCGCCGGTGCTTCCCAGAACCTGCCATACTGCCTCTGATGGTAGACAAAGAACCCAATCCTAGCATTGCTGTAAGTTCTGGGAAATTCGGTGATTTAATTTGAAGTTGAGCAGGGTTTGGGCTTTCCTACTTCTCTTTCTCAGCAGTGGCGCCCTCCTTGTGGAACACCCTCCCATGAGATGTCAAGGAGATAAAGAACTACACAATTTTTAGAAGACATCTGAAGGCAGCCATATATCAGGAAGTTTTTAATGTTTGACGTTTTATTATATTTTTATATGTGCAGGAAGCTGCCCAGAGTGGCTGGGGCATTATTACAAATGTTTGTTTTGTTATTGGTGTATGTTTTTATTATGGTTTGTAGTTCGGCAAACCATTGTGAACTTGGTGTGGCCTTTGGCTAGTACAATAAACATTGATGATGATGATGATGAATCCAATCCCATATTGGGTACCCTTCCCTGCTTTTTGGACTTTGGGAAAAGATTCCAAGAGTTCCATGGTGCCTTTAATCATGCTGTAAGTTTTTACAGCAGGGGTAGCCAACATGGTGTCCTCCTAATGTTCTGGGCTAACAACCCCTATCGTCACTTACCGCCGACTCTGCTGGCTGAAGTATTGTGCAACTAGAGTGTATTTTTCTCCACACCTACATTCTTATGAAATCTAAAATCTAACCTTATGAAAAAACAAGCAAAACTCACATTGCATATCTGTGAACACCGATAAACAATGTGTCAACAAAGCAGCAGTGATGTCTAGACAAATATGAGCTGCTTAAAATAGCAATAAGCCTGAAGAGGAAATGAGGCATTCTTCCTGTCAAGGTATATTTCTTTTACCACTGAAAGGGAAGTACAAAGCCCTGCCTTAAACTTTCACAAACTGGTTTGTTTGAAGTGTGATACCTCCTTGAATCTTATTGTGCAAGTGTTCATACACATTCGGAAAAAAATACACTTCCCCCACCCACCCCTCAATAAATTCACTGGGCAAAAATGTTGATGCCAGAGAACATATTCAGCAATGTCCTAGTCCTCAGTGAGGTGATATACCTGTGTCTGGCCCTTATCACTTGAGATGTCAGGCAGGGGCTCACAAGTCTGGATGTTCCTTTATAAAGAATTCAATTTTTCACACAGAAATCTAGGGCAGTATGTCCTAGTGAAGAGCTAGTTTTCTATATGCAGGGTTTTGATTTTGATTCGTGTAGAAATGAATCCCCACTGTGCTTTATTGTAAGTTGGAGCGAATGTAAATTCTTGACATAGGAGAAGAACAGGGGAAGGCATGGATTTAGCTCTTCCAGACCTAACGTTAGACAGAGGGAGGCGAAACCTTAAGCTCTTGATCCGATCCATTTACTGCGGCTGGTGACTCATAGCACCATTGAGAAAGGCCACATTCATGCACTTTGATAGCACTTTAAACAGTCAAGGCTTTCCCCCCCAAAGAATTCTGGGAGATGTAGTTTGTTAAGCAGGCTAAGAATTGTAAGGAGATCCCTGTTCTCCTCACAGAGCTACAGTTTTCAGAATGGTTTAACAATCAATTCCTCTTCGCAGGGAATCCTGGGAATCATAGTTCTCAGTCAATCTTCTTCAAGACAGCAGCACAAAGAACGGCAAGCCCAGAGGATGCCCATGTGAGCCCACAAGCTGCTGGGTGGCAGAGAAAGAAGCGCTCATTTCTTTCAGGAGAAGCTGGCTTCTTACAAAAACAATCGCTTGTGTTGTTAAAAGCACAGACCTGCATTTAGCGTTCCCCCAATAGCACTCTGTTTATTTTAACGTTTGCAACATGCCCTGCTCCAGCCCTGCAGCCTGGTTTTAATCTCATTTACACTTTGGCAAAAATCCACCGAAGTCCCTCGAGTTACGCTGGTGTTAAGCAGGAACAAGAGCTGGACTGAGACACTACTTCCCAATGATAACAGTTTTGTGTCATGTTTATAAATGCCTGTAACTCTGTGCCTTCGCCAGCCTATCACCTACCAGAAGTTTTGGACTACAGTGCCCAGCATCCTTAACAAATTACAGTTCCCATGTGCTTTAAATGTATGGTGCGACCATAGTCTGCCTCACCTCAACTTTCTTGGCTGCTTGGTACTTCAGCAGTCCACCATCTTGTGGGGTAAAGGCCCCTACACCTGTCAATCATAGAACTAGTTCACACACACAAAACAGAAAAATCATATTTTCCTATACATTTCCTATACATTGGGAATGAGATTGGACAGTCCCTGTTTCGAATCCCCCTGACCCTCTTTTACACAGTGTGTTATAGTGGCTGGACTAGGACCTGGGAGATCAGGGTTCAAATCCCCACTCAGCCATGAATCTCAATTTGGTGACTTTGGGCCACTCACAATTTCTCAGCATAGCCTACCTCACAGGAATGTTGTGAGGAAAAAAAAATTCAGGAGAGCCATGTATACACCCTTGGGCTGGAGTGTTGTTGTGGGAGGGTTTGTTGCTGTTGGTTTTTTTTGTATCTTTATGTTAGATTTTGCTGTGATTTGTGTGGAAAACCATAATGTTTATGGTTCATGACTTGTGTTGTAGTTATGCATTTTTTCATGTGGTAAGCCACCTTGAGCACGGTTTGAACTGTGGGAAGGCAGCCTACAGATAAAAATTATGTGCGTATTTATGTTTGTATCTCAAACTCCTTGGAGGAAGGAAGTTACAGTTATATCCTTGGGATATAAATGAAACAATAACATCAGCCATCTACCCCACACAGAGTTGTTGTGATGATAAAATGGGGGAGGAGACCATATATGCTGCCTTGAAACCTTTAGAGCAACCTTTCTCAACCTGTGGGTCCCCAGTTGTTGTTGAACTACAACTCCCATCACCCCTAGCTAGCCAGGCCAGAGCTCAGGGATGATGGGAGTTTTAGTCCAACAACATCTGGGGACCGACAGGTTGAGAACCGCTGCTTTAGAGGAACAGTAGAGTGAAAATGTAAATTTTGGGGACCCTGCAGCCTCCTCTTCCTCCAGTTGTCATGCCATGTGTCACATCTTCCCATAACCTAAACATGTACATTTGCATGTATGTGCACCTAATACCCCAAACCTTCCCTCTCAGAAAAGTGATGGATTGCACAGATCTGACCTGCACACAGGTGGGTGGGTGCCGGGTGATAACATGAGTGCACTGACTGAGGTGCTGTGCTCGCTGTGAACTGGTTGCCACATGTACACTGCTTGATCTCCCGGCATATGTAATGAAAATGCAATATAGATGGTACTGACCACGGTTAGACTGGCAAAAATGTATAAAAACTGTAGTGATGTCTGTTGGAGATGCAACAACGGGGCAGGAACCTTTCTACACATGTGGTGGGAGTGCAAAGAGATAGTGGGATTCTGGGAAAATATTTATAAAGAATTGAAAAAGATGTTTAGCTTATCATTTGAAAAAAAACCACAGAATCCTTCCTCCAAGGTATCATGTCAGAGGAAATAAAAAGAACAGTCAGACCAATATTTATGTATGCTACTACGGTGGCAAGGTTATTAATTGCCAAAAATTGGAAAAGCAGCAGCATCCCAAATAAAACAGACTGGCTATCTGAAATGATGGAATACTTCCATATTGCCGAATTAACAGGGAGGATAAGAGGAGATATGGTACAAAAAGTGAATAAGGAGAGGGCTATCTTTAAGGAATACATCAAAATCTATGTGGAAAAAGTAGAATTTTTGACAGATACTGAGTGAATCCAGAAAATGATTAGAGTGAAAGGAGAGTAAAGTTGAGATAGAAGAAGAGATCAAAGAAATAATGAAATGCATTTAAGCTAGTTGGAAAAATAAAGTAGCGTAACAAGAACGGCTGGAAGTCAAGTCACTTGGTGGGTGTCCGTGTGGGGTAGGAGTGTAGGTATGTTGATATGTACAGTATAGGTAGGTATTATATAGAGTAATGTAGGTGTGTTTTATGCTATGAAAATAAGGTAGTGTGTTGTGTATATGTAAATGTACGCGTTTTATATGTTATAATAAATTAAATTAAAAGGGGGGGGGAGATCTCTCCACATATGATTAGCCTGCCCTTGACAACTGAGGCACTGAATCCGAAAGATGACTTCAACGAAAGCAAAATTTCTGTCTGGGGTTTTAGAGGTCTGTGACAGCAAATTCGCACCAGGAAGCCATCACTTCACACTTAGCAGTCATGAGGCGATGACTGTGCGTGTGGGAACATGCTCTCCGTGTGCAGGATTCCTGGTTTGGTGACCACGACCTCGCTCCGTGAATCAAGGAATAATGCGGGAAGCTATGAGTTGCCTTCCCACATGCAGCTTTTACCTCGCCTCCTGCAGCATCAAAGACGGAGAGGCTCCAGCTCTACTTCACCTCGTCGCATTCTCAGATTAGAAACCTGCCATTGTGGAGATGATGCTATCTCCGAGGTTACAGCCCTTTTTGTTGAAGCCCACACAGACATGCGAGCTGTTTACAAAGAAAAATGGATGTGGTAGCATGACGTCAGCGTCACCAACCTCAGAGACCTTTGGTTTCCTTATTGCAAGAAGTGGATGACAAGTTGTAAACAAGCTTTCGTGCACGTTTTCTGTCAAACACAGCAAAAGGCTACAGGAACCTCAAGATCTCCATCTGATCTTTACCAAACCGCCAGTGGCAAAGTAAAATCCGAAACAATTAGGTATTGTGGAGAGGGCCCGATAAAAATCAGAAGACATTCCCATTTCCCTTTTCAGCCCGTATAAAAAAAACAGGATGGCAAGAGACTGACTCTTCCACCAGTTCTTACATTTGTACCCCTAATGTGCCGGGCAATATGCAACGATGGGAGATTGAGTGCCCTCTAATCCACTTCACATCTCTTTGGCACACTGAAAGATGCTGGTGGGGCGGCAGGGAGCGACAAATAAACGGTTGGAAGTAGAACAGCGGGGAATCATTCAGTTTGTAACGTAAGGGTTAATTTTGTCAGTGTTAAAAGCCAATTAGTCAAGAGGGGGACAGGAGGAAGTGTAGCTTAGCAAAGAGATACAGTGGTGTAACTTTCACTGAGGTGGGACATCCTCTGACTGGCTGGGTGGTTCTGAAGGAGTATTCTTTTGTATATGTCACTAGTTGAACATTTCCCTGCTATGAACCAGGCCTCACTTAAGAAAAACAAACCTCAGTATTTCTCCACAAGTTATATGCTGTTCTTGTTCAGTTTTATTCAGTATAGTATTATCAGTTTCTTTTCTCTCAGAACTCAATCTGCCTTATTCATGTCACTCTGCTAGCACAAACTTCAACCAGAGGTTTACAAGGAAATATATTTTATTTTCTACTGAAGCATTGTGGGAGACTTTTAATGCCAAAATATTAGAAACAGATCTCCGCAGAAATCTTAATCAGCTCCCTCCTACCACTAGATCCGAGCTAGTTGGTGCACACATAATTATCTATCCTATGGAAGATGGAGCAAGCTTGTTTTCTCCTGCTCTACAGGAAAAGCATGGCTAGCCAAAGTACATTGATTTCAATGGGCCTACTCCAAGTAGGATTCAGTTTGAAACAGGGGGTAGGGAATTAAATTCTGTTCACACTCAAAGACACATCTATCAAATTCAGTTTCTGAAGCAATATGAGAACTGAAATTCAGCAGTCCTTCAAAATTCGCACTCAGTTGAATTTTGCAATGCAGTGCTCCAAAAAAGCCACATTTACAAAAAAGTATGTATATATAAGTGGGGAATGTGCATAAAAATGCCTATATTTGTAACACACACACACAGAGAGAGAGAGGCATTCTATTGGAGGAAAATGCTTGCCAAAATGTGTACATTAATCAAAGCTGCATACAAAAATTGTTTAGTAGGCGAAAGCTACACTAAAATGCTGATGAATTTTCAGATTTATTTTTAAAAATCGCAAAATTGCAGCAGAAATGTGAAGGTAAATTGGAAAGAAGGTAAAAACAGAGAGAAATCAACAGCCTTACTAGAAAAATTAACCAATAAACTGAAACTGACATGGGGACAAATAGAAGAAGACGGCTTCACCCCGGTATGGCTCCCCTTTATCACACACACAGCCCAACAAGACAATGACAAAAATCCACCAGGAGCATACAAATCAATATGGCTAACCTGATCCAAAACACCCACCCACCCTCTCACACATGAAAACAAAGACCACCACAGCCAACCATAAATGAACAACCATACCCTAGGCCAACCCCAACCTCTCTCACCACCAAAGGAACACAAGTGAACAGCAGAGAACCTACACAAGCAACGCTGACACAAAACCCCACATATATTAAGTAAAATAGAAACATCGCCACCCAACCCCAACCCCACTCATCTCCCCCTTCCACCTCTTTCCCCCTTTTCTTCCTAATGTCTCGACAAATGAAACCGATTTGTAAAAATGTTACATGGGGGGGGGGATACGAGAGAGAGACATTGCACACACTTTTGTAAATCAAGAAAATCTTTAATAATAAAAAAAGAAAAATGGAGAGAAACAAAACTGGCATAACCTTCTGTCTCTGGTTGGAAACAACCCCTCATTGGAGACAACCTCTATGAGTTCTTCAAGGCAATAGAAGTCTAGTTAAAGAGGCATTCCTGGTTGGTTTTAAGAAATGCAGTCCCACCCTCCAGCCCCAGCAGTATGTGCTTTTGATTGACGTGAGCTGATTTATGAGAAGTGGTGTGTATTTCTGTACACAGAAGGCCTGTTTCCACAAAACATCTCCAGAGCTAGCTGTTGTGTTCCATTTCCACTGAGCCATGAAGGACTTCGGGAGAACAGAGAGACACATCAAGCTCAACACAACTCAGCCCCATGTCCCTCACAGAGAGCAATCTTGTCCTCACGTTATGACCACTTGGAAAATAAATTATACCGGCATATCAATCCTGGGCCAGTGCAAGGGAGGAAAGGGGTTAGGAGGGCATATGGGTGGGCATGTCTTAAAAGCGTACGGGGAGAGGATCCCACTCGCTCACATATGGAACAGAGGACCAAAAGCCTACTGAGCTCACCATCCTGTTCTTGCAATAGGGAACCACAAGCAGGGCTTGAGCTCAACAACACCTGTGATTCACCACAACTGGCATTCATAGAATCATAGCATGGTAGAGTTTGAAGCAGGGCTGTAGCTAAGGGGTGGTGAGGTGCCCCCCAGGGGCGCAGGCAAGAGGGGGGCGCAAAATCGGCTAAAAAATATGTCCATAAATATGTCTATAAATAAAAATATCAATTATTGCCTCATAAGAAAAGGTTTTAAATAGAGCAGGGGTCAGCAAACTTTTTTCAGCAGGGGGCCGGTCCACTGTTCCTCAGACCTTGTGGAGGGCCGGACTATATTTTTTTCACGGGGGGGAATGAACAAATTCCTATGCCCCACAAATAACCCAGGGATGCCTTTTAAATAAAAGCACACGTTCTACTCATGTAAAAACATCAGGCAGGCCCCACAAATAACCCAGAGATGCATTCTAAATAAAATATTCTACTCATGTAAAAACACACTGATTCCCAGACTGTCCGTGGGCCGGATTTAGAAGGCAATTGGGCCGGATCCGGACCCTGGGCCTTAGTTTGCCTACCCATGAAATAGAGGGTGAATTGAGGGGGGGTTGGAGGAGAGGCGGAAAGAAGAACTAATTTGTCCGTAGCTAGGGGGTGCAATCTGGACGGTTCTGCCAGGGGCACAAGATTACCTAGCTACGGCTCTGGTTGGAAGGGACCATGAGGGTCATCTAGTCCAACCCCCTGAAATTTAGGGATCTTTTGCCCACCGTGGGGCTCAAATCCATGACCCCAAGATTAAGAGTCACACGCTCTGCCAACTGATTCAGAGACGTGCTGCCTCCAATGGTGAATACATCCGGCATGGCTAGTAGCCATTTAGTGCCTTTTCCTCTGTGAATTTGCCTAATCCTCTTTTTTAAAAACTATCCAAGTTGGGGGCCTTACCTTGTAGCAGCAAATTCCATATTCTAATTATGTGCTGCTGAGGGGGTGGACGAGAGTTGATCCACCTTAGCATTGAGGATGGCAGAAGGGATGGGGAAGAAATACGATTCATCAATGTGCATTTAAAGAGAAACCTATCAAAGTTGCAAACCGCCCTGAGATCTACAGGTACAGGGCAGTATAATAATAATAATAATAATAATAATGTATATTAATTATATTATAATTAATTAATTATAATAATTATATTATTATTATTTCTGAAACAATACAATAACAAAACACAGCTGTTCTTAGAAATTTGCAATTAAATAAATGAATATGAATAGATTAGTGAAAGCATACAAAAATATATTGGGGGAAATGTCTGTATTAGGCAAAATTGTGAACAGAGATGCGTTGATTAGGAGAAATCCACACTAACATGTTGATGAATTTTCTTTAGGGTGGTTTTTTTTTATTAAAAAAAAAAAGATCGAAAATTTAGGATTGGGAAATTGAGAAATTAAGAGAAACCTTAAATGACAGATTTACCCATCCCTGGTGGGAGATTTCCTCCCAGTGCAAACCAGAGCTTCAGAAGAGACATTTTCCTTCTCCTTGCCACCTGCTGCAGTCCAGGAATATCTCTCTCTCTCTCTCTCTCTCTCTCTCTCTCTCTCTCTCTTTCTTCTTCTTCTTCTTCTTCTTCTTCTTCTTCTTCTTCTTCTTCTTCTTCTGCCTCTGCCTCTGTCACGCACGCACACACACACACACACACACACACACACACACACAGTGCCAGCCATCTGCAAGATCTCAAGCCATCTCACTGGAACCTGCCATCACCATCGCTGCTTGACAGGCACCTCTGTGCATCCTAGGTATGAGAGGCTTCAACAGACTGGCAGCAGGGTGGGGCGGCACCTTCCCATTTTTCCTCAGGTGGCGAAACAGGACCCCTCTCTATCTGCCAAACTGCACACAGACAGTTTTGCAGTTCTCCAGTCCCTTTATTACTATTTTTTATTACTAATTTTGCTATTACTAATTTAGCGAGCCATGTAGTTTTGATATTAATGAATGAGTAATGTCGAACAGTGTGAGTTTCAAGTCTGGTGATAGTTTTGTCGCTGGTTGTTCTACTTTTATCTCCCTCACCTTGAACCAGAAATATCGGTATGACAAGACACGTCCACCACACATGCAAGCTGTCTGTGGTAGGCAGTTTTCTGATTTAGCCATCTTTGTATACAGAAAACTAAAAATTAGTTTGTTACTAAATTCAGTTATTAACTTATAGATTAATTCTGTTATCAGTAAGTCAGCTAACAAAGAGGTGCAGGTGGAGTGTTGCATAGTAACCAGGCAGAATGGCGTGATCTCTAGTGAGGTAGCATGTGCTCCGACTGGCTGTGTAGTTCTGAGGGAGTTTTACTCTGTATGTTTGGTTGAGTTTCTCCCTGCTATGTAAAAGGCCTGAAGTAAGAAAGACCAAACCTCCCCCGACAAAGAAAAAATATACACTGCTCAGTAATGTGCTAGCAGGGTT